ATAAAATAGATCTTGCATACACTGCTACAAAAATTTAAGAAGTGGAGCTTTTTTAGGACAAAATCCCCTTCGGTTTAACATTTGAAATGTTGGTCTTGACAGAAGGAAATGCAAAAGGAACTAGACATGGGTTTTTACGATGTAAAAACAAGTGTGCATTGCCATGTAGCATGTCATTGCAGCATGGCTTTGCCTGCAGCATTGGACTTGCAGAATGAACTGTGACCAAGTTCAAATGTATTTTCTAAACCAGCTTGGGCCTGTCACATCAGCAGGTGTTTGTAATTAAGGTAATTGTGTGACAATATGAAATTTGAAGAGATTTCTTGTTAAAGTTGCATTAGCTGGGTTTTGAACCCTGATCTCCCACATGAAAGTCCATGACATAGACCATTAGAGCAATGGAGCTGTGGCAGAAGGTGGTGGCAGGGCTTAGTTTATTTGTGTGCAGAAAGAGGCCACATTCCCAATACAATTATTGACACAAAAATGCATAATATTACAATCGAGTAGTATTAAGACAATGTTATAGTTAAACATCAAAGTACAATCATATTACTACTGTAAACACTGAACTACTGAGTTTAAATATTAAACTATGGTGCAGTACCAAGTTGAATACAGCATGGGGCAGTATTGGACCAATACAAGGCTCCATTGACTGCCATTACAATTCATTAAACATTAATGTTTCATATACTATAAATTTTACAGGCATCAAAATGCATAGCCATCATTTGGCACAGGGGCTTTACAGATATGAATTACAATGGCAGCTCTAGGACAAAGTTTGCAGGAGGAGAAGCATGGCAAAGTTGAGATGACTTGGATGGGAAACGAATCACAGTAGTGTGCATTGCATTGGCAATGAACACTGATGATGGTTTAAACCAAACACTAACTACAGCAGAAAGAGTGAACAACAACAATCTTAAACATTTTCTGATGTTTTAAAGAAGCACAAACATCAACCTAAAATATATTTCTACAGGAATCCAACTAAACCCAGTTTTCTAAAGTGTAATTTAAAACTCATCAGCAGGTTTTCATTTTCATAAGTGATGATGTTTCAGTTTCATGAGAAAAGGTGGAGCAGCCTGTAGTTTGTGTCTGTCCTCAGGATGTAACTGTGTGGAAGTTTTCAGTCTAAAAGGAAAACTGGAGCACATTTGTTCTAATTGAATTCAGTGCAAAAGGCTCAAAGCATCACGGTGAAGCATTTATTTAAATAAAAAGGTAAAACTGGTATATATTATACATTTTATTGGTCCCTGTGAACCCTTGCAGARTTCTCGTCAGCATTCTTGGTGCGTCTCCAGTTTTTTGTGTTCCTCAGGAGTCAGAACAGAAATGAGTTTTCGGCTCCGTAAAAGAGACGTCCCTGAAGGAAAGTGTCTGATCCTGTTCCCAGGTGTCCTCCTGTTCACACAGCCTTTGTGTTGATTTATTAATCTTTTGTCTCACTCTAATTACCTTTACAGGCGGTATGATGTCAGGTTTTGCTTGTGTTTGAATTGTTTACACTACCACACTTTGCTTCTCCCTGGACTGAACTAATGGAGGTTAATGTAATATTTATGATGCACATCTCTGTGTTTTTAAGTGTTCTATAGGAAGCAGTGATACAGCAGCAGGCTGTTCTAATCCACTCTCCTCCTCTCTGTGTTTCCTCCCTCACCCTTGTTATCACCATCTGTTTGGCCATATTGTCTGGTTCTGGTCCCTGCGGCTCGCCGACAGACGCTTCCTTTGGCCTGGTGCTGGGTGTGTTTCTGGTGTGCGGCCTGACTCTGCTGGGTCTTCTTACACTGGTCTCCTGGAGGCTGTGCTGGGTACCGTGGCGGACAAAGGCCCACATCCCCAGTCCATCTCTCAGCCCGGACTGTAGCCCACAGCACTGCCCGCTCCAGCCGCCTGTCCCGCTGCCCATTCCCCAACAGCCGATAGTCTCCATGGCGACAGAGAAGGTGAAGGACCCCATGGGCTCGACTGGTTTCCTGGAAGCGGCGGTGAAGATAAGCCACACCTCTCCTGACATCCCCACTGATGTGCAGCTCTCCATGAGGGAGCACTTCCTGCGCCGCACGCAGCGCATGCAGAGACAAACCACTGAACCGGCCTCCTCCACACGGTTAGCACGCACACACACACTATGTCTCTCTATCCTTGTGGGGACATTCCATTGACTTCCATTACATTTCTACAGCCTAACTCTGACCACAACCCCTAAGACTAACCTCACAGGTACCTACCTGACCCTAAAACTAACCTAAACCCAATAGCCTATATGCCACGGTCATTAATGACATATTTCCAGTAAAATTCTTGCCACGATCCTCCCTTCCACTTCCTGTTTACTGC